CGTGAAGCCATTAGGGAGCAGACCTTATAGGGCAGGGGTCCTCAAACTACAGCCCGCGGGCCACATGCAAATGCAAATATTGTATTTGTTCCCGTTTTGTTTTGTTTTTAAATATATTTTTATTGATTTTTTACAGAGAGGAAGGGAGAGAGATAGAGAGTCAGAAACATCGACCAGCTGCCTCCTGCACACCTCCCACTGGGGATGTGCCCCCAACCAAGGTACATGCCCTTGACCGGAATCGAACCTGGGACCTTTCAGTCCGTAGGCCGACGCTCTATCCACTGAGCCAAACCGGTCTTGGCCCGTTTTGTTTTTTTACTTCAAAATAAGATATGTGCAGTGTGCATAGGAATTTGTTCATACTTTTTTTTTAAACTATAGACCGGCCCTCCAACGGTCTGAGGGACAGTGAACTGGCCCCCTGTTTAAAAAGTTTGAGGACCCCTGTTATAGGGCCTCTGTAGGGATTTGGAGAGGAAGCTGTTGGCGGGTGTGAAGCAGGTGTGACGGTCCCTGCAGAGCTCACTGACTTCAGTGGTAGGTGGGAGGGGGAGGTAGAAGCTGGAGGCAGGCGACCACTGCGGGCCGGTGGTGGGGACAGTGGGTGGCCCTGGAGGCGAGATGCCCGGTGCGGAGGGGTCAGATGTTGGGACGGCACAGGAAGGCCCTGGGTCTCCAACACACCCACGGCTTTTTGGCTGGTCCAGTGCAAGGCCCAGAGCCCTGTCTGTCACTTGCCCTCAGGGCTTCCAGGTGGATGTTTTCCTAGGAGCACAAGTGGGTGTGTCGGTGCCTCTTGGGAAGGGAGTGGGGCTGGGGCTTCACTTGGGAGAGGAGAGGCGTCCAGGGTGCAGACCAGCACTTGGGGTGATGCCAGTGGGGCCACGGTCAGGGGCTAACGCACGGGGGTGCCTGCGGACCCCGGGGAGCCTAGCCCGTCCTGCTCCCCAGTCTGGAGGAGGCGGCAGGGGACTTCCATTACAGCCGGAACGAGGAGACGGGGCTTTGGGGTTTGCGGGTGCTGGGAGTCCTGTGCCCCCTGACCTGGCCCCCTCCCCACACACAGAGGGGACCCCGTACGCCGGAGGCCTGTTCCGTATGAAACTCCTGCTGGGGAAGGACTTCCCTGCCTCCCCGCCCAAGGGCTACTTCCTGACCAAGATCTTCCACCCGAACGTGGGCGCCAACGGCGAGATCTGCGTCAACGTGCTCAAGAGGGACTGGACGGCTGAGCTGGGCATCCGGCACGTGCTGCTGGTGAGTCCGGCCCGGGGCCCCGTGATGCCGAGCGTGGCTTCTCTGAAGTCAGCTCTGGTAGTGGGGGGCCCACGTGGGAAACCCAAGTTCCGGCTTTTCTGGAAAAGTGAGGCGTTGGCCCTGCCCGGTGGGCCCAGGACACCGCGGACGCTGTACAGGGTGTTCGGGGCCCGGGGCACTCCGCAGTGAACAGTGGTGAGGGACGAGATGTGACTGTTCTGGAGGGCACAGTTGGCTGGCTGTTCAGTAGCCACAAAGTTTGTGCAGTCGCCTGTCATTCCAGAATGTTCTCACAGAACATCCTTTCTCAGCCAGGGGTGCCCCTCTGTATAATATTCATGGAGTGGGGGGAGGGGGGGGGCAGCGACAGGCAGGCCAAGATGGAGGCGCCCTGGACTGCACCCTGCTCCCAGGGCCTTGCAGGCCTGCTGCCTCCCTACCCCTCAAGCCTAAGAATTTGAAAACTGAATTTAATGAGCCCCTGGGGCAGGTGGTTGGGAGGACAGGGAGTTGGGTTCCTGCAGGGCTTGGGGGAGGATTGAGCTTCAAGGTAGTGTCAGTGCTGGCTGCCAGGGGACACTGGTGACCCCGGGTCAGGCTTCACTGGTGACCCCCAGAGCCTCGGGCTTGGGGCGCAGTGGTCAGATGAGGGTCAGGCCTGGGGGCCTGCTTGTGGCAGTGATGTCTGCTGGGCTAGGTGCTGGCCCCGTGACAGGCCAGACAGGTCAGGGCACCTGCTCCCTTTTAGAGGGGGTGGAGGGCCCCTTACATCCTGGTGCCTGTCGGGTGTGGTGCTGCCCAGCCCGAGTCTGTGACTGCACTTGGGGTTCCTGCTCACCCAGTGACAGCTCTGGAGCCCAACAGGTCCAGGTGTGAGTCCTGAAATGTCCCATCACTCAGGTTGGGGAAGCCCTTCCCTCAATCACTGGCGTTTTGGCGTCTGGCCCCCCTGACCCTGGCTCTCTCCCCACAGACCATCAAGTGCCTGCTGATCCACCCCAACCCCGAGTCCGCCCTCAACGAGGAGGCGGGCCGCCTGCTCTTGGAGAACTACGAGGAGTACGCGGCCCGCGCCCGCCTGCTCACGGAGATCCACGGGGGAGCCGGTGGGCCCAGCGGCGGGAGGCCCGAGGCCAGCCGCTCCCTGGCCAGTGCAGCCTCGGCCTCCTCCACCGACCCCGCGGCCCCTGGGGGCCCGGGAGGGGCTGAGGGGCCCATGGCCAAGAAGCACGCAGGCGAGCGCGACAAGAAGCTGGCGGCCAAGAAGAAGACGGACAAGAAGCGGGCTCTGCGGCGGCTGTAGTGGGTGCTTCCTCCACACCCGCCCGACCCTCAACTCTGTCTCTAAGTTATTTAAGTTATGGCTGGGGTGGGGGAGGGGGGCACTGGGACCCGGATTTGTTTTTCTAAATAAAGTTGGAAAAGCAAGCAGCTGCGGTGCCTCTTCGTGCCCAGACCAGCCTCTGCCGGGGCTCAGAGCAGCTGGCCTCCCCCCCTCGGGTCCACACGCAGTCCCACCGCACGGGGCCCCTCAGCTCAGCAGGCCCCTCATGGAGCTCTGGGGCCACCTCTGGTCTCAGCTGGTGAGGTGTGCTCTGGATTAACCAGGCGATGACGTGATTGCAGGAACATACCCCAATACTTAAGGTTCTGCCCTCTCCAGGAGAGGGGAGGGCATGGGAGCTCCCCGCCGGCTTTGCCTCAGTTTCTTGTCCATTATCCATCATGTGGTTGGCTTGTGTAGGGCCCCCAGGGCACAGGGTCAAAAATTATAATCCCTGGCCAGGTGGCTCAGTTGATATGAACACCATCCCATGCACTAAAGGCTGCAGGTTCGATCCCCAGTCAGGGCATACAAGAGACTGATGATCTGAGTTTTCCTCTTCCCTTTCTCTAAAATCAATTTTAAAAACACCCTCGGGTGAGGATTTAAAAAAAAACTCATAAAATGAAAAAACTGGAAATGACCCAAATGTTCAATAGTTGAATGAGAGAAGGAATTGTGAATTCATACGATGCAATCTCACTCAGCAAAGTATTGATACAGAAAACATGGATGGGTCTCAAAACTATTAACGGGCTGAAAAGTGTAAAACAGTCAATCCTATTCGTATGAAATTCTAGAACAGGCCAAACTGATCACTCCTGGCTGAGAGCAGAGCACTGGCAGTCTGGGACCAGGGAGGCTCAAATGAGGGGCATGGGAAAGTTTTTTGGGGGGAGGTGAGCATATTGCAAGTCTTTTTAAATACTTTTTTTATTTCAGAGAAGAGGGGAGAGAGAGAAACATCACTGATGAGAATCATTGATTGGTTGCACGCTCCCCAGTGGGGATCGAGCCTGCAACGCCGGGCATGTGCCCTTGACCGGAATCAAACCCGGGACCCTTCAGTCCCCAGGCCAATGCTCTATCCACTGAGCAACACCAGCCAGGGCTATTCCAAGTCTTGTTATGGTCCCATGGATGCACAAATTTGTCAAAACTCACCTAACTCAGCCTGTCCCAGTATGGCCCAGTGGTTGAGTGTCAACTTATGAACCAGGAGGTCAAGGTTTGATTCCCAGTATATACATAGGGATGTCTGTGTGTGTATATATATGAAATTTTATTTTTTCTTAAGGCAAAGACAGCCCTGGCCAGTATGGTTCAGTTGCTTGGAGCATGGCTCCCAGCAGTGGAAGGCTGTGGGTCAGGGCACATAGATAGGCTGTGGGTTTGACCCTTGGTGGGGGCACATACAGGAGGTAACCAATCTATGTTTCTCACATCGATGTTTCCTTCCCTCCCTCCCTCACTAAAATAAAAAAAGCAAATAATTTTTAATTTCAAGAGCAAAGTTTCTACTAAGAAATGGCTCCCTTTCCCTAGCCAGTTTGGCTCGGTGGATATATTGCATCGGCCTGTGGACTGAATGGTCTGAGCTTCGATTCTGGTAAAGAGCACATATCCAGAGTTGCGGGCTTGATCCCCAGTAGGGGCTGTGCAGGAGGCAGACGATCTATGATTCTCATCATTGATGTTTCTCTCCCTCTCCCTTCCTCTCTGAAATAAATAAAAATACATATTTAGCCCTAACCGGTTTGGCTCAGTGGATAGAGCATCGGCCTGTGGACTCAAGGGTCCCGGGTTCGATTCCGGTCAAGGGCATGTACCTTGGTTGCGGGCACATCCCCAGTGGGGAGTGTGCAGGAGGCAGCTGATCAATGTTTCTCTCTATCCCTCTTCCTCTCTGTAAAAAATTCAATAAAATATATTTTTTAAAAAGGTAGTTCCAATAAAATGACGTTAAAAAAAAAATCAACCAGTGAATGCATAAATGGGTGGAACAGCAAACTGATATTTCTCTCTCTTCCTCTTAAAAAAAATTATATACTCGGCCTGCAGGGACTGGGCACGCCCCCCGAGTGAGCCCTCACCGCCAAGTCCAGCTCACTCAGGGCCACCATCTCTGAGTTAAGGCAAAGGCGAGCATAGTGGTGTCTGAACTCCCTGGCCTCCCCGCAGGGGGTCTGCTGCACTGTGGCCCTTGGGATGGATGGATATATATATACACACACACACACACACACACATTTACACATACATACACACACACACACATATATATATAATATACCGGTACATACATATTCTAAGCAACTAGCAGCGTCCGGTACCCGGCAGGCCACCCCTGGAAGTCTATCCCCATCAGCACTGTGGCCCTTCCCTGCCCGAGCCGCCTCTGCCTGATCCATAGAGGTGTGCCTCACGGGTGTGCTATCCTTCGCATCACCCGTCCCGGACCCCCCGACCATGCTGTCATGTGTAACCTTCGCCAGCGCAGATGCCCAGGGCATCTGGGTGCAGGGAGGTGAGGCGGACGTGGCACTGAGGCGTCTGCCCTTCACTGGCAGGTATGGGAGCTGCGGGAGGGTTCTGGCAAGAAGTGGGCAGGGTCACATCCACTCACTGGGAGGGTTGGAGGGGCCAGGAGGAACTCTGCCTTTGCATGGAGTCAGCCCCTGGAGGCAGGGCTTTGGGCCCAGAGCCCAGCAGGCGTCCTCAGAGGCCCTGGACCAAAGCTGTGGAGTGGGACGGGAGCAAGGGTCTCATCTCTGCACGGGTCCCCGAGGGCAGAGATAGGGGTCTCCTTGATGCTAGACCCTCGGCCTCTGGCACAGAGCAGGTAGGAAGAAAACGTGTCAGGACCTGTGGTATCAGTGACTGTCCCCCAACATGACCTGTTTCTGTATCTGTGAAGTGAGGATGCCACCTGCTTTGGGGCTGTCTGGGGCATTTGAATGAGAAGTGGCCATTCCGCACATGTATGTATGTATGTGTACACACACAGGGCATGTATGAGAGGTCCAGCTGCTCACAGGGTTTATGCTCTCCACTGAATGACGGAGAACTTGCTGTGTGCAGGCTCTGGTCTCAGCACTGTGTGTTCATTAACCCCCTGAATTTTGACAACAGATGCACAGAGAGGTCTAGTTACCTGCCCGAGGACACACAGCTAGTGGCAGAGGTGGTGGTTGACACCTGTGATCAATCACAGGTTGATAAACACCAAGAGACTTGAGGCACCCAGGCAGGGGGTAAGAGGGTGAGAGGCTAGGACAGTGGTCGGCAAACTCATTAGTCAACAGAGCCAAATATCAACAGTACAACGATTGATATTTTTTCTGCTCTCTCTCCCTCTCCCTGAAATCAATTAAAAAGAAGGCTTGGATGGTAACCACTCCCACCTCCGCCGGCCACAGACGGGGCTGGAGCTGAGGTGCAGTGAGCGGACCGACCCAGTGTGCTGACTCAGGCCAGACCCACAGCCCTTAGGAAATTCATCTAAATGTTCAGGGATGGAAAACTCATGTAAGGTCTTGAAGCGGTCAAGTCCTTCTAGCAGTGAGGGATTCTGAGGACTTTCCTTGTTCAATCTGCACTTTCTGATTTGACACACTGTGGTCATCTGATGCACTGAATGTAGGAATTGCACCAGCCCCCAGCCCTCCCCTGGCAGCACGGATGCTGGGCCAGCCACAGTCACTAGAGGTCTAGTTACTTGCTAGGGTCTCCCTGCCCCAGACGTGGCCCTTCAGCCCCAACACACTTTTGTTCAGTGCCCGTGGGTGTGGGAGCCCCCAGAGACAAGCTGACAGTTCTAGCGACAGGGCCTGGGTCCCACACACTGAGGCCAGGCGAGGATGAGGAGAGCTGGCTGATGCTTTATTGCTTTAGGGGGACGGGTGCTCAGGAGCTCTTGGTGGGGCGGGCCCGCTTCCTCTTCACCATCACGGGCTTCTGGCTGCGCAGGATGGCGCTGGCCCTGCGGATGGCGGCCATGCGCAGGTCCGGGCGGTACTTGTTCTTGCGGATCATGTGCCGGATGCTGCTCAGGGTGGCCCGGGCGTTCTTGTTGATGGTGGTGCGCACGTAGGAGGTGGCGGGCTTTCGCTGGCCTAGTGGGGGCGAAGGGTCAGTCAGGTGGCCTTGGCCTTTAATACACTCCCAGGTGGGAGGGCACCATGGCATCCTGAGAACCCGAGTGCCACGGCTGTAAGCCTGGTAGGCAGCCAGCTCCATCTCCACACAGATTCCCGGGACAGCCCTGGCTGGTTTGCTCAGCGGATAGAGCGTTGGCCTACAGACTGAAGGGTCACGGGTTTGATTCCAGTCAAGGGCACATGCCATTGTTGTGGGCTCAACCCCAGTAGGGGACGTGCTGGAGGCAGCCAATCAATGGCTCTCTCTCATCATTGATGTTTCTATCTCCCTTCCTCTCTGAAATCAATAAAAATATATTAAAAAAGATTCCCGGGACACTCCACAGGGCCAGGCCACAGGCACTGTACAGGCACCTCCCCATCTCTATGTCTGAGACACAGCAACCCCCACCATCTCACTGGAGCAGACACAGGATGAGCACTTCTGTCCAAAGTCACACACACACACACACACACAGCAGGCACAGAGGTGAGGCGGCACTTGGCACCGTGCTGGCCCATCAGTGACCCTCCAAGCACGGCAGTTGCCTCCTCTCCCTGCCTCAGCCTCCCAGGACCAAGGCACCCACTCTGAACAAGGGTCTGAAAGGCCAAGCCAAGGCCTGGCCCTGACTCAGGGGTGACAGGGAGTCACTGTGGGCCAGGAGTGGGGAGCCTGGTGCACAGGGGTGTCTGGACCCCACTGCCCAGAATTCAGCCAAGGACTCACCTCCATGCCAGGGGCATGGCTGAGTCACTGACCCCAGAGCAGGGCCCACAGTACCTGCCCAGGTCGGTCTAGTTCCTGACAGTCTGGGAAAGGCCACTCGGCAAACCAAGAGGGGCAAGTTTTTAGGACCCGAAACACCAGAATGAGGAGCATGAACACCAAGAAGCTCCCTGGCATCAGGGGGTGGGTGCTCCGGGGCTGCGACCCCGAGAAGGGGAACCTCCTACTGCAGGGCGGG